AACTAGAAGATTATTTTTAAGAGGAATAAGGGATCTTTCGGAAAAGGCTTTATTTTCCGAAAGATCCCGTCTAGACTGGCGCTTTTCTCCGGCAAAGCCCCGAGCCAGAAAAAAGCGACAGCTATGTTTATACAAATGAAGCGGGGGATATTTAAATCCCCCACTGCTATTGCAATTCCGACTTGTCTCATCTGCATCCCTTTTCCAGAAAAGGGGTGCAGTGTAGACACAGCCTTAGAGTGCACAATGTTTGTGTTCCAGGATATGCACTGGCAGCACATTGTTCTCCATGTGGCATTTAAAATGTTAGTTATTATGGCCTATAAAGCCATGAATGACCAAGGGCTGAAGAGTGGCCTATTTTTATGTGCCTAACTGAGCTACAGGTAGCAGAGGTGCCCATGCTGTGTCTCCCTCCATTTGGCTGTGTTATTTCATGGGGAGTTTCACAGTATAGGAAGAAATCAGTGGAAATGCAGACAGACTGAATAGTTGTAAGTGTCCATTTTATTGTATAACACAGAACTAACTAGAACAAGCCCAAGCTAGCTGGGCTGACCCCAGTGATCTAACTCAGTTACTATAAAACAAGATCTATATCTACAACCCAACACACAACCAGGCTGGGAATTCTTTGTCAGGGCTCCAGAACATTGGAACTTGCTATTCCCTCCATTTCTTTTCTTGGTCTCAAATAGCTTCAATGTGGTGATCCTCTGGCTATGCTGCAAAAGACATCTAGTTAATAGCATGTTTGGAGAAGGCTGAGGTTATACTGAGAACAAGAAGGAAAGGGTGGAAAGGAATTTTTGCGGGAGGGTGACAGAGTGGCAGAGTTCCTATTTTATTAATTATTTCAGTGCTGCAGGGGTTTTGTTGGCCATACTCCTTGAGCCTTGTTGACATGTCTTTTTATTATTTAAATTGAAATAAATGAAAACACTTGTTAAAATAATTTTGAATAACCCAAACATTGAGAAATTTGTAATCTGCTGGCAGACAGTACTGGAACAGAATAAAGCAAAATTTGTTGAAAACATTCTTTGCTGCAAATTACTCACCCAGCCCTACCAATCAGGAACCTAATAAATGAAATCACAGCCATCTGTATTATTACATGAATGTAAATGTAGCAGCAGGAGATTAGTTTCAAGCTAATTCATTGTGATGCTGTGGATTCTAGCTTTGGAAGCAGTGGAATATGCGGGGAGTAAAGCCAGAACTCACAAAGCTTTATAGTATGCTTATTAGTCATGTAACTAACTTGAACAAAAGGATGAATAACAACAACAGAAGAGTGAACATATTGATATTATAGTGCAAATTTTAGTATGTTATTAAAGACAGGTCATTGTTGTTTTTAGCCCAGAATACCTCTTACTCCTTTGTGTGACAAAGCCCGGAGAGAATAACTTATCATAATAAATTGTATGGATTACAGCCTTTTATTTCCACGGTAAATTCACATGCCAATTACATATTTTTCTTGATTATTTCATGATTTGCTAGAATTTCACACAATTGCTTTATGGCTTGCTACTAGAATTTTAGGATATGCTGGGCTGGTATTATTCTGAGTTACATAAAACCTTTTTGAGAATGAATTTAAATCTGATTCAGAGTGATGTGTGAACATGCCCTTTACTTAAGATTCTTGTAAAAACACTTAGGGAACCCTGCAGCAAGACCGAAACCCATTAGAATATACTCAGAAATTAGCACCATGGGCATGTGAGGGTTCCACTGAGTATTGTGACCAGGTTTGTGCTCATGGGCAAGGGGAAAGGGTGAGGCTATGTATGCACAACAAAGTTAAATCAGAAAAAGAAATGCAATTTGCGGTACGCAAAATGTACATCTTTTTCCGATTTACTTCCGAAAGAGGCTTTTCCATCTACAAAGGGCCAAATTTTGGAAAAAAAAATTCTTTCAGAACATCCCTTCTTCCTTGTAAAATGAAGTTTACAGAGATGCTGAAAAAGCAGGTTCGATTTTCCGAAAAAAAAATATTTAGTGGACTGGTCTTTTTATGTATATTTTAACTAGCAACTGCAAACAAATTTCATAAATCACATCACCATTTTCAACCATATCTAATGTTCACTGTCTCAGGTCATTCTAAGACCTTAAGTTAATGCTGGGTCCCTTTCAAAAGTGCAACTCAGTATTATTGTGCATACTGCAAACTCCTCTGATTGCAATTGTAAAAGTCTTAACCGCAACATTAATAATATTTTTTATTATTTAAATTTTCTATAGAAATAATATTTCCAGGCAATGATAATAGACAACCCTTTCCCCACCATAAATGTACATTCCTTTAGTTTTATAGTAACACAGTATTATCAACCGTAACTGTACATGCTTTATGTTCAAACTTCCAACTAAATTACCAAGCAATTCACTAATTAGATCAGTTATTTTCAAACTTTTTTTCTCATGGCCTAGTTGAAGAAAATTGTTGATGCCCATGACCCAAAATAATTTGACTAGAGCAGTCGTCACCAACCAGTAGATTGGGATATTCTGGTAGATCTTGGAGCCTCGGACAGGGGATCCTGACTGGTTTGGCCAAGAGGCTATCAAGTGCCAGCACTTCTGCCGCCCCTCCCCCCACTGCTGCTCATCTCCTGCCCTTTGGCTTGGAGCTGCCTCCCCCATCCCCAGGAGCCTCCTGCTTGCTGTGCAGGGTAGGGGAGGGAAAGGAGGTGGCGCTGGTGTCAAGGTGCCCCCTCTCCCACCCTGTATCCTATCTCCACAGAATGGGGGTGGGGGGCACAGCAGGACTTGGGATGGAGTTTGATGGCTGCTTTTGGGAGTGGTGCAGGGCCAGAGCAGGGGTGAGCCTGCCTTAGCCCCACTGCACTGCCACCCAGGAGCTACCTGAGGTAAGCTGGAGTCCACATCCCAAAACTCTACCCCAGTCATGAACCCCCCTCTTGTACCCCAAACTCCTGTCTTAGCCCCAAGCACCCCTGCATCCAAATGCCCTCCCAGAGCCAGCACCTAGAACCCGATCCAGCACCTTAACTAGAAATGCTGATACCCTGTACCCATCTGTTCCAGCCAGCCTGTCCGCCTGTGTCTTTCAATATTCACCCCGTCTGAGAAACACCTCCCCATTGTGGAGCATATTCCCAGTGGAGGCCATGTTCAAAGGATCCCACCTGCTGGCTGCATGTTGAGCCCCGCGTAAACCCAAACTGTACTGTGGGCCTCAAGCGTACAGGCCGCATGCAGCCCATGGACCGTGTGTTGAGTAGCTCTGACGTAAATAGTCTTTCTTAAAGAAAGGAGGGATGATCTCTTGAAATGTGATCCTACAACTGTTATTTAAATTATTCAAATTGTTTTCTCTGTCTCCAATAGGCAAACAATTTATCCTTGTTTTTCCATTTCAGCCTTTCATTGTAGGTAGCATGATGGCACAGTTGCTTTCAAAAGGAGGAAGCTACTGTCATTTTCTGAAAAATTCTAACTAACCCTTATCACTTAGATAACAGTTCTATGTGCTGGGAGACAGCAAACTATAACTGAATGGACTTTTTCCTAATTAAATCTCAACAGGCAATCCTATGATTGTCTTTTCTCTCACAAAACAGACATGGACCAATCCATAAACGGTCTCTCTTCACCCATCCTCTTCCAATGCCAGCTTTTTGTTTGTTGATATTTCAAAAAGTGTAGGCACTTATCTGGTATCAGAAAATCAGCTTGGAATACCACAGTTCTGAGCAATCTCTTGCTGTCATTAACATGAGCACAGTAAAGACAATCACCATAAGACTGAAATATTCACAGTAGGGATGGGGTAAAGATGCCTCCTCTACTTTCCTCCCCTGTATCTGTTCAGTGCTTGCTCTGGCTACTCAGGCTCAGATTTGGTTTAAGGATTTTCACTGAGGTGGTCATGCTAATATATTATTTAATGTTTATAGTCTGTGCTGAATATAAACTTTAAAACACAACAGATCAGTTAACTCAGGACTGAGTAGCCACATTTTTCAGGGCTCATTCTCTCATCTGTCTGTATTATGTTTTATGAATTAGCTCTTGAAGCATCTCGTTTTGACGTTTGCATTATCACTAGCTCTCCTGTGCCTTTTCCTTCATTCGTCGTTTGTATGGAAGATGGACTAAGACTTAGTCAAATATTTTCATTTTTCATTCTTTATATTCTGAAGGTTAGAAGAAGAAATATCAATCAACAGAGAGGTCCTGGCTGAACGTATCATGTGAATGTAAGTTCAATGGTCTCATAAATGCACCTCAAATATCTGCTAAAATGAGAACTCTCTCCTCAAAAGGATAGAGCTGCTGCAGGAAATGGTCTTTGGAAGAATTTGAGTGGGAATTAGTGCAGAGTGTCTATAATCTTGGAGGAAAACATCGGTGCTTTGTGTACTTGGCAGTAGAGCAGAGATTTCAAGTAGATAACAGCATGGAGAACACAGAAACAAAGGGGAAAATAGACCCCCCCCCCTTTTTTTTTGCTACTGTGCTTTACAAAGGAATTGAACATTCTTATCTGAAGGATAGGAAGGGACATTATGAAGTGACTTCTCTGAAACAGCAATTGGCAGAATGCAGAATCCTTGCTGATGCCAGTTTCAATTTGGGGTTGACCGGAATCAAGACAAAGGAGTGCACAGAAGGGGAGGCAGCAACTACAAGTGTACAAAGCATAATTTTCCATTGAGCACTGAAATAGGACCCAGTTCCAATTGACAGTGTTGAAGCCACATAATAAATATTGTAGACGATGAAAAAGGACAACACAGATTTAAGTGCACGCACATGGGCATCTGTCCTCGCGTTCCTGAAACATAGAAACAAAGGTCTGAATTAAGGTTCATTTTCCTGATATGTCTACAAAGGGATATGATTAACAAAAGAGATGAAGCAATAAATAGAATAAGGGGGGAAATTGATCCTACTCCCTGTATCAGAAAAACAAACTTTGTAAGGTTTTTTCCTTTTTCTGGTATTGTGATATTTCTTCATGGACGATATGAACAGATGTGAGAGGTTATCATAAAGACATAGCTGAAAAATGTAAAAGTGACTGTTGTAACTAAGCAGTACAGCAGGGAGCCTAAAAGCAGCCATGGCACCAATTTGGAGAGTTTCAGTTTTAACCAGTTGATGAAAGACTGGTTGAAAGTGGCAATCTTCACACAGTAGAACACAGAAAGGCAGTTTGCAAAACAGAGACTCACATGGTTTATAAACATCCAAATAACTAACATCATCATTATTATTTCATCCATATCACAGACATCTGGATATAAAATTTGTAAGAAATTGTCTGATGACACTAAGAATTGTAGGCAAAATCTGGAGAAGGCCAGATGGTTATAATCATATCATAGAAAGTCAGGGTTCTGCTTTTGGCCCAATCAATGCAATTTAATCCAACAATAAATCCATTTGCAACAACTCCTGCTGATAATTCTATTGCTGTTATGATCAGATAAAAAATATCAGAAGGTGCTAAAGAATTTTTCATCATTAATTCTTAGTTTGTAGCTCACTTCTCATAACTTTCCAGAAAACTTTGTTCAGAAGGCCTGTCTTAGAATATTATTCATGTCTAAA